TTTTAAATTTTCTTTTACATGAAGGGGTGACTAAACGCAAAATAGGTTTACTGCCACAGTCGAGCAGTTTTGTCGGCACTTTTTCGTCTGTTACCCCAGGCCGGGCCTGGCCGCCATCTTGGCTCGGTAGTAATCGGGCGGTGTTTCTACCTGTTCTGTTCAGTAATCGTATTGAATGTTAGATCTAGTAACTAAAAGTGAGAAATAACACAAAACAAAACAAAAACACAACAAAGGCACAACAACGTTAACAAAATCAATAACAACAAACACTTACAGCATTGAGAAAATACATTTAATTTTTATTTGGTTCAATCTAGGCCTAGACGACGATGCTCGACTCTTTAGGCCTATCGATTACTGAACAGAACAGGTAGAAACACCGCCCGATTACTACCGATACAAGATGGCGGCCAGGCCCGCCTGGGGTAACAGACGAAAAAGCGCCGTTTTGTCTTCTCGCCCTACCTTTTGAAGGCATTTTCTTTCAAGAAGTATGGTCTGGGAACGTTGCCCCAACCACAATGAAGTATCAATATTCAGACATTTAAAAATCTCTGGCTCTAGAAATTGAATTCGATTTTTTAAAAAGGCGTCTTCCCACTCCTCGCAAAACGAAAAATGACGCCTAAATCTCGACATAGCCATAACATAAAAATCTCGAGAACGGAAACCGTTCGGAGAAATACAGGTCAAGTTTATTTTCCCGAGCGTTCTGACAAATAGTCACCTCGTATATTAAATTTTTTTGACAAAGATCTAGATCTAGTCTTTAGATTTTTTAGACCTAGATCTAGATTCTAAATCTACTATATCAACAATGATTCACGATCTGATCCCTGATAAAACAATGAACACTTGAGGCCTTTAATCATAATGTTCAAACATTGTTGTGTTGCTAATGCAAATAAAACCATTAGGCCTAGGCCTATAATATGAATGAAGAACCCAGTGCCCCTGACAAATAAAAAAAAGTAAGGACTTCCGTAACGAGTGACCACCCCAACAAACTTAACAAACACAACAGACCTAACCCTACCCCAAACCTAACCCCTGCTCCAACCTTAGGCCTTAGTCCCTACCCTAGATGTGCTACTCATAGTGGTCTCATAAAATAGTGGTCGTTCGTTACCGAAGTCCACCCTTACTTTCAGTATTTTGGAAGGACTTCCGTAACGAGCGACCACCCCAACAAACAAAATAAAGAAGAGACCTAACCCTAACCCTACCCCAAACCTAACCATAACCCTACAAAACCTACTAAACCCTACCCCTTTGTTCTACTGTCTCATGGTGGTCGCTCATTACGGAAGTCCTCCCGAAAGGAAAGAAAAAAGTCGGGATTGGGAGAATAATTAAGGCATGCATGCACCCCTAAATCGTCGTCATCCCCTAGCCTACAGCCTACGTCAACTGAAAGTTAAATCACTGGCCTCTTCTTCATATTTGTGTTTTGTCAAACCAAGAACTTGTCCTCTCTCAACTTCGGAAATGGAAAGGAACAACTCATACACAAATAATCTACCTGCAATTATATCCTTTCATCACAAAAGTAGGTGGAAAAATAAACAAGATCTGAGTAAAAATTTTAACAGAAACATAAACAACAGTGCCACATAAAATACACAAGTTGCCCTTACCCCAATCTGCACCTCACTGCAGGGATGCCGCCATCTTAGATATCGATCAAGGCCGCTGGTCGATTTTATGGATTTGTAAGTCAAATAATTTTATTTTATTCATTTGATTTTAAACTTGTCAAAAATATTGTTATCCAATTAGAAAAAACAAATAAAACTTAAAAATGAATATATTTCTAACCACACTATGTTTGGTTTAAGAATAGCAAGCGATTTCTACCAGTCTAATGCGCGATCCTATTTGGCAAATACACTACATCTTCTTTGTTAACGAAGGCCCAGATTATTGTAAGGTCAGCGTTAAATTTCTCCATTATATTGCAAAATGAATAGTTCATAACCCAATTGAGGGACAACATTAGTTTTTTTTGTGTCATTTGAATTTTTTTTTCAAGTAGAATTTGTTAGCCAAACATATTTCTAGATCTATATTTTTACATCTGGCATCACCGTTTGATCAGAAATAAAACCGGAAATAAGAGGTCCGCACAGATAGGTCAAATGTCATGACATCATCAACATTATTGACAGATCAAGACGGAAGTCAACAAACTGGAATCAACTTCTGGGGTTGGTCGTGCTAAAATAACTCTATAAATAAACTAATGAGTAAGTAAGAGGCGGCTGTCTTGCAACACTATCATGTGAGTATTTAAACTCCTACATACATGGAATATAGCTGATATTTCTTGTAAGATCAGACAATTCTTGGTAATACAAGCTCCGGCAAGTTAGAGAAATTATAGTGGAAGTCAAGAGAAATTATAGTAGGGTAGGTTGTAGTTGTTGGTGAGGTGTAGTGTCACTAGTGTGTCGGAGTGTCAGCTAGGTGTACACCTGCTGTAACTGGAGTGTGTTATATGTAGGCCTATTGTGTGCAAGTGTAGTAGTGTTAGTAATATCATGTAAGTTGTCAAGAACTAGACTCTAGTAATATACTATAATATAATTGTTATAAGTAGACCTAGCATGGTTGCGTAATGAGTATGACAACAATGAACAACGTCAACACCTTGACTTGACGAGTGAGGGAACTGCTACTGACCATCGATCGTGTTTTAGTTTTGCTATTTGTTAAGTGTTTAGTTGTCCTGCCCGTGAGTCTATGGCCCACAGACGGGACACAAATTATCGTGAATCATAATCATGTTACTCTATGGCATGGGACAGAAGACTCAAGTAAAAAAGTAGGCCCTATTTTGGTTCTTGTCACAAGATTTAGGAAGCCCTTATTTTTACTCTTCACACCCTCCCCCCGATTTATTGTCACAATAGAGATCATGCGATCAAGCCAACAGTATTTTAGTGTATAATTGATATTCATGTTATTGTCTTGCTCTGATTGATTTTGGCATTGGAATATAGATATTATATATGAGCCATTGCCAAAACGTGGGGAAAAACACACACATCTCACAATTAGTGTGCATAAAATGTGATGCATTAGTATTTATTCCTACAAAACTTATACGTATGTCAAATATAGGATGTAGAACCTGCATTAGCAGTTTCAGACCCCTTGTCAGCTTTACAATCTTGAGTTTGTAAATTTTGTGCCAAAAATGTTCGTTTTTTAGTGATTCCTGGAGTGTCATTTTGAGCACACCAATGCAAACTTCCAAGAATGTCAAAAATTTAGTATTTTTGGGTGTGTTTTTTTTACGTGTGCTTTGATCCTATGTTATTTGTCATTGAGAAAGGTTAACTTGCTCAAGAAATCGGTTTATTTGTTTGCAAATAGACGAACAATTCGGATTACTTGTGCGTCTGTCGTGTCGTCACGCACTAGGTGTTTCAGAAAACACCATTATTTTTCAGTAGAATCACCGTAGCTGGTTAAATCTCTTTGCCTATCGTCGTTTATTCAATACTTCAAAAGCCGCGATGCGCGAAAGGAACATCGGGTTCCTAGATCTACGATTTCGGTCGGCTGTTTAACATTCGCCGTTATTGTCGTCAATTTGCAACGTGCCGGAAGTCCGAATTTCGCCCACTTTTGTTTTGAACGGGTTATCAAAAGTGCCCGGATATAATTGTTTTCTTGAGTGACTTCCCCTTACCCGCGTCCCCAGAACAACGGAAGCAACGGGGGGAACAGAAAAACGAAAGCAGTCATTGCCTTCAGCGTCCGGTGACGCACAAGAATTTTGCGTTGAATGTGACGTACTGGGCTGTTTTGCGTGTTTTTAGGCTACTCTGTTGAATATTTTAGTGAAATTGCGGTGTTTACACTGGATTCCTGGAACAAGAGTGTGATGTGTGAACAAACTTCGAGAGATGGATCATTTCTGTGGTTATAGATTTAGCTTTTGTGCTCAGTGATGACGTTTGGGGTGTCGTCATGCAGCCGTACAAGACTGACTAACGTACAAGAAATTACATTGTCCTAAGAGCAAACATTTTTTAAGTAATGTGTGCTCTCTTTACTCAAACAAATAAACAAACATGTCCTTGTTTATCTGTCTAACTCAAAAATACACATTTTTTTGTTCTTTGTTGGTATGATTTACCTTTTTCCAATACATTGTGTCATTGTGTCATCATTGTTATGTACAAGTAATATTTTTCATAATTGCTAATATCAATAAGTTTTCAACATATATTTCATACATGCAAGATCCATTTAGTTAGAAGCAAAATACGCCTTTATTGATCTGTGTATCTCTTAGTGCAAATTTGTTCTTTGTAGGCATGACTTTACCTTTTCCCAGTATGTTTTGTCATCACTGTTATGTACGAGTACTGTTTGTCATAATTAGCAACATAATTGTGATCGTCCACTGTCTTTGATATGACCTGGTATCTGTTTCAAAGCAAAAGAAACCTCTCCTGTTTTTTTTTAATTCTTAAAGTGCGCTTTTATCTTTGGAGGCAAGACTTTTGTCTTTTCCTGTACATTGTGTCATCATTGTTATGTACAAGTCATGTTTGTCATCACTGTTATGTACAAGTCAGCTCCATTGATTTTGTGCTTTTGCCTCATATTAGTTAAAAAATTGTTTTACACATGTGTTTTTCTGGTACTGAGGCTTTGATAACTGTATTTGTACAGCCTTTCACTATTGTGATGTGTTGTCAATGATAATGTCCAATGTGTATCCTTTCTTGTACATAACAATGATGACATGTTCTGTGCACTGCGTCATTGTTACAAAGCTTGCCATTCATATTACCATTATGAATGGAGTTCATAGTGTACAAAGTGTTTGTTTACTAAACAAATGGAATTTAAAGTCTATAATTTGCCTTGCTGCTTATCTGTTTTTGTCATCACTGTTACATACAAGAAATACAGTAGTTGCCAAACCAATAGACCCATATCTCCAAAACCGTACGTCTCCTTGCTCTGATACTCTAGGAATATGAGCACTAAATGTCAATCTGTGACTGACAGAAAAGAGAGTCAAATTGGTAAGAAAATTTTTTTTGCACCACTGAGTCTCAAGAGAGTCTCACGTTTTGGCAATTGCTCATATGAATGTTCCGAGTGTTTATGGTGGGTGAAGTAATTGTAAATTTATATTTTCTGAGGTAGTGAGTCTTTAAAAGATGAAACTCTTTACTTAAAACTCTGCTTTTAAACAGTTGAAGATATGGATTGTTTACTCTAACTATCAATTTATGTTTCATAGTCACTTGGTCTTTCGAATTTTTTTCTTCCAATAAATTTTGTTTAACACATTCAGTCTGTTTTCTTATCTTTTCAGAAGGATCCGATAAGGTCGTCATTTACCTTTGAACAGATAAAGAGGAAGTGAAACTGTCAATCATGCCGTTGGAATTTCTGTTTGGTCGTAAAAAGACCCCAGAGGAGATGCTCCGCCAGAACCAAAGAGCTCTTAACAAAGCCATGAGGGAACTGGACAGAGAGAGGCAGAAAATGGAGCAACAGGAAAAGAAAGTGATAGCTGACATCAGGAAAATGGCAAAACAGGGACAAATGGTGAGTTTGAGGAGGGACTCATTGATAGGGAGTGGAGTGTTAAGTTCCCTTAAAAGTTGCTGACTCTACTTTTACCAAGGTGCCATAACTTTGCCTTAACATAACAACAAGACCTGAATTTTTTTTTTAGATGTTAAGACTGGACGAAGGAACAAATTCAATGGAAAGTGACACATGAATGTGTTTTGATGTGCTCTGTTTTCATTTGAGGCAAACGGTCGTCTTTAAAATTTCTTTGAATTACATAATTATAGGTTGGTTTCAAATAGGTTGACATCGAGAATTGTTTTTTGAAGTATCATTTTTACATGTATTTTTTTATGTAGCTGTAAAAATATTTTTAAAATGTCAGCAGTTTTCATAAATGGAAGTGTGAAACAGTTTATTGTGATTTACTTTCTCTCTACTTATGTGATAACTTGTGTGCTCCTCAGGATGCTGTCAAGGTCATGGCCAAAGACTTAGTGAGAACCCGCAGATATGTTAAAAAGTTCATTTCCCTCAAGGCAAATATTCAGGCAGTGTCATTGAAAATTCAGACCCTCAAGGCCAACAACACGATGGCTCAGGCTATGAAAGGAGTAACCAAGGCGATGGCAACCATGAACAAACAGGTGTGGTAGTTTAATTATCCTTTTTTTAAGTTCGTTGATTGTATCATGTTTGATCAAAGAGTCTACATAACAAGAGGGGCACTTCTCTCTTTGAGCCAATTAAAAAAGTGTCCTCAAAATTCGGTGGCGCCCTCTTCACAAAAGCTCACGTTTTGCGAACAGAGTTATCCTACTTGAGTTTTAAAAAATCAAAGTGAAACTAGCAAGGTTTTGAATGAATTTCGGAAGAACGCTTTTTTTAAATGGTTACGCTGACAAAAAATCTCTTCCGGAGGAAAGGGTGATTGTTTTCTTCGTTTAATATGACTTTAGAATGAAAGGCTAGAGGTCATTAAAATAAAAACAAACTAAAACTCCACATGGAACGAACCCGAACTGCTGATGAACAACAGTCGATCTGCGCAGGCAAGGAGGTGCTATTCCTATTCTTCTTCTGGAAAAACGAAAGAGAGCTTCAAAACAGATTGTAGCGCCATCTGAAGCAAAGAGCGAACTTCATGCGGACACTTTTTTGGCTGAGTGGCCCATCTTGTTATGTACTATCTTTGGTTTGATGCAGGTTTTGTAAACTGTTTAAAGGCCGAAGGCTAGAATTTAGATGGCTGCGGGATCAGAAAAGTAAAGTTTAAAACTGTTTCTGGTTTGGGTTATAATGATTAGATAAAATTTAACTTGCTTAAACTTTTGCAACCAACAAAATTGTTATTATTTTGTGGATGTGTCCAGGGCCCCAAATAAGATAGAAATATGCATAGAGAGATTTTACCATTTTTGGTCATTTGGGTGTCAAAGTTAAAACTACTCATTGTTTTAATTGAAGTAGGCCAATTGAATTTTATTTTTGTATCCAAGTTCACCTGGACACTTTTTGTGAAGCAAATGCCTTTAAAATGGGCTACCTGTCGTTCTAGAAATTTTTATTGTCATTTTCTATATAGATACTTATTTTTAAGTACTAGCCCTGCATGACAGGATTGATAAGATTCTTTAAAATATCACAACCTCGTTGCTGTGATTATGAAAGGATTTTTTAAAAATTCCCGTTAAATTTAGTTCAGGTTTTATATTTTTTTAGGAAGTGACTGCCTCTTAAATAACTTGCAGTATTGATAGAGAGGCATTAAATTTAAATCCATACACCTACCAGGAAGTGTTTACAGCCTACAGTTGTTTGACTTGTAGTTCCGTAATATACGTTGTGTAAGTTTATATCATTCTTTATCTTTCTCTTTACAGCTGAAGCTCCCTCAAATCCAGAAGATCATGATGGAGTTTGAGAAGCAGTCAGAAATCATGGACATGAAAGAAGAAATGATGAGTGATGCCATTGATGATGCTCTGGGCGATGAAGACGATGAGGAGGAAAGGTAATGAGTAATGCTACGGTTATTGTTTAGAATGTTCCAGTAATTAGATGGAGATTCCATACAGAGAAAGGAGGCATTCTGCTTGATAGTTGTATTGTTTCATTCTTCTTCTCTGTAATATTTTCTTTAGAAACAGTCTAATTTCTTCGTCTTTGAGTGCTAATGACCACTTGAAGGTATCACAATTTTTCAATGTGGTGGTTTATGTAAATTACCTTGTTTCACTCACACACACACACACGCACGCACACACACACACACACACACACACACACACACACACACACACACACACACATACATACACACACACACACACACACACACACACACACACACACATACACACACACACACACATACATACATACACACACACACACACACACACACACTCACTCACACACACACACACACACACACACACACTCACACACACACACATACACACACACACACACACATACACACACACACACGCACAAACACACACATACACACACACACACAAACACACACGCACGCATGCACGCACGCGCACACACACACACACACACACACACACACACACACACACACACACACACACACACACACACACAGAGTCTGTTTCGTCCCCTGTCTTTGAGAATGCAGTTTCCTCAATGGAAGTGCTCCTGGTGCCTTATATGCAAGCCTGAAGTCATTATATGTTCAGACACAACTACTTACCTATCTGGACACTTTTTTAATTAAACTTCGTTTCGGCACAAACATTTGTTTTATAAAACTATTGTAGATGTAAGCTATATTTTTACTGCTAAATATAATATATTTTGTTGTTCCATTATGTGTCCATTATTATCTTCCTCTTAGAGTGTGGTTGGACCTCAAAGATGCCACTGTTGTTTCTGTCTGTATGTCTGTCTTGCTCTTTCAACATTTTAAGTCTTTCCCTCTTCTAAATAACAGAGTGTCGATGTGCTTCTTTTTATTCAAACTCCAACAAATTATTTTTTTCAGTGACGCCATCGTTTCACAAGTACTTGATGAGCTTGGCTTGCAGATGGCCGATGAAATGTCAGGTAAGTTTATAAGTGTAGGTCGGCTGTTGTGTGTGGTGTTCGGTCATGTGTATACATCTTCTTTAAAATCTCTTATTGTAATTATTATATTGCAAATGTGTTGGGCATGTGCAGACACAGTTAGAAATTTTTGGATAGGTGGCTTCTTTGATTTTTCCTGTCAAAGCCAGACCAGGCTGGAAGGGGTACAGCATCCCAGCAGACAGATACAGTACTAGCAGTGCATCTCACAATGAGTCTGTAACACAGGGTCAGAATGACTCATTGGTAAAAGTGAAGTGTAGCATGCTTCCCAAAAACATTTGCACATCCTGTTACCAAAAACATTCTCCCATCCTGTCATCAAAAATCACCAAAAACATTTTCCCCCAAACATTTCCGAGCCTGTCATCAAAAACATTCTACCTTTCCGATCAGTTATCAAAAACATTTCCCCATCCTGTTTCTGTCATGGAAAACACTTTCCCGTCCTGTCATCGAAAACATTTCCCCATCATTTCCCATCCTGTCGTCAAAAACATTTTCCCATTTTGTCATAAAAATTATTTTATTTAAAACATGTCGCCATCCTATCATAAAAAAATATGTCCCCATCCTGTCATAAAATAACATTTCCCCGTCCTGTCATCAAAAACATTACCCCATCCTGTCATTACTTATCAAAAACATTTTCCCATCCTGTCTTTAACATTTCCCCATCTTGTCATGTCATTGTCTTTAAAAAACAAAACATTTCAAACACTTTCCCCATCCTGTCATCAAAAACATTTTCCTATCCATTCATCAATAAACATTTTCCAAAAAACGTTTTCCCATCCTGTCATCAATAAACATTTTCCAAAAAAAAGTTTCCCATCCTGCCACATCCCATCTTGTCATTAAAAAAAATGTCCCCATCTTTTCCCGTCCTGCCAGGCCTCCCGAGCACGGGCCAGGCTCTGAGCGCCGGGGCCAGCAAACAGCCACAGGCAGCCGCCGCTGTAGGGGACGCAGACGCCGATCTGGAGGCTCGCCTGGACAACCTCAGGAGACAGTAGTGGACGAACCGATGAACCACCGGGGGGGAGGGGGGGGGGGAGCAGCCGGACAGTGGGGAGACTAGTAGCTGAACTGCGAAGAGAAGTAGGCGAACGGCAAGAGCACCAGTCCAGTATTTATTACAGCGTTTCAACTGGGATATTTGTGGACATTATTAATGTAGAACGTGAAGCGCTCATTTATAATCAAAGGAAGAGGACTGGGTTTTTATTTCGGGCAGGGAACGAAATAAACTTGAAGAATGTTTGCATACAATGCGTGGAAGGGAGGTGAATGTGAAGAGCTTGATGTACGCTGTAGAAGAAGCTACAGAGTCTGGAAAATTAAATTACGAATGGGCTGTATCTAGGTAGAACTTGGAAAGTACACACACATTCAGTGTAAATTGTGGAAAAGCAAGAGTTAATTTTGAAAGTGATCAGAGATTACTTTCTTGGTACAAGCCTCACAAGTAAGCTATTGTTGAAATAAAATTTGGCCTTCCCTCACTCTACAAGATTTCCTCGGAACTGCTCTGTGTTTCATTGTGCTCAAAGCGATGTGAGGGAAGTTATAGCACACAGATGATGGGTACTCAAATATCTTGAGGATTTGGATAGATGTATTATATGTGTGTGGATCCTACGTGCTCATTTAGTGGATGTAGTCCTTCCTTACTTCTAATGGGATAAACGTACATTTATATTCTCTAATTCTCTACGTCCTCCTGTTGTACATGAAAACATTGACTTTCGTTAAATGATGATCTTGTGCCTGCATTCTGTACAACACGCGGAGGTCGGCAGTGTGTGTGTGTGTGTGTGTAGATTGAGCTGTAAACAAAAAAGGTCAAAGGTCTTCTACTTCACTGAATCCTCATCCCCTTACATGACAAGGCTTGGAAGGGGGGGTGTTGTTGTTGTGTGTGTGTGTGGTAGCCTATCCGTACGAAATGTTTGGAGCCCCGAAGAGCGTGCTCTTCGCCAGGGCCACCGCCTCCCTTGGGTAGCGGGTGAGGCAGTCCAACCTCCCTGAATCCCCCCCCCCCCGAAGAGATGCCACCGTTGTTGTTGTTTGGGAATTTGCGGCAAATGTCACCCAGGTTATACAATATTGCTTATCCGTGACTGCACATGCAGTCTTGGCTTTTTTTTTTCTTCTACTTTCCCCTCCGAGATCCATTTTTCGTACAGATACCATTGTATCATATTGTAAGTAAGAAAAATGTCCCATCAAACTGTCGGGCAATGAGACATGGGGCAACTTGAACTGGGCTGGGTCTCTTCATCAGCGTTCAGTTTGCTGTAATTCGGGTATATGATATTATACTAATATAATATATGGGTAGCTTTGATGTAAAATTAAAATACTAAATTCTCAAAATGTAGATATCTTCCTTCTACAAGTCGTCTACAGTGTGTGTCCTTGAAACTGTTTTAAGTAAAACGAGTTATCGTTTTTGTTTTGTACGAAATTAGCCTTTTTCTTTTTATCTGGCACAAGAAAACTTGTGGATTTTTGTTGGATTTCAGGGCATAGAACAAGATTAGTGAAGAAAATTTAGGATCAAGCTCTGTGTTCAACTTGTCTTTTTTTTCTTGCTAGAGTTGGATACGCTTGATTCTGATATGTTCAAGATTTCTTATTATATCTTCTCAATTCTTTGTCAGATGTGAGGGTGGCAATGGCAAGGTAATTAACAATAGACGTTTGTGTGTTTGAGCTGCTTGAAAAAGTGTGATGTTGAGAACCTTCCAGAAGTTTTCAGTTACTTAACATAGGCTTGTCAATGTATTTTTGAAGGTTGGTGCACTGATGCTGGGCAGCTTTTCTTCAGTTGTCATTAAACACACTGCATACACACGGCCTACACCGTTTTGGAATGAAAGCTTAAAATTAGGTCAGTCACCGGAACATTTTCAGAGTGATTTTTGTGAAAGTGTTTACATTCTGTGAGTGGTGAAGTGAGATTTTTTTTGTAATTTTGACTTTTATTCAGAGATTGTTGGTATCTTAGGCTGTCCCTGTCGTTTTGGGCAAGAACAATTTTGAATTTATGCAAACTGAGCCCAAAAATGTGAAATTATGCGATTCTGTTAATTTTAACAAAAAATGATAAAGGAAAATAATCAGAAATTATGCAAAAAATATCAAATTTTGCTAAATTATGAAGGTTATCAATTTTCTTCAGCTAGCCTGGCTCTGAATGCCCTTAATTCTGTTGTCCTTGAAATCAGTCCATCTAACATGTCCTATGTGTGACGTTGGGTAATTCCCCCAGACAACACAGAACATCAGTTGTGCAGTCTGTCTCTCAAGTAGAAGGCCTACTACTCTACTTTGGTAGAGGTTGAAGGCACCAAACATAATTCATTCATGTTTGTCAAGAGTTTTTATAGCATTGCTTGATTGAAGGGTTTGCATAAAATTGTTCGGCCATTTGGCCATGATGACCCTGTGTCTGCCACAAACTGTACAGTAAGATTTGCGGGAACTTTTTTTTTTGGGGGGGGGGTGGTGTTTGGGTTTTGTTGTTTTTTTATTTAGGGTCACATTAATGGGGTCAGGCACAGATTGGTCAACAAATAAATCAAAGGAATTTTATTTTACTTGAGGAATAAAAAAAACAACTTTAATTAATGAAATTATCCCAGAACACTTCAGCTCCAATTTGGCATAACTGAGTAAAATCCACATTTGAAAAAAAGATGTGTAACTTCACACAGTGCCAGTGACCTTGTTTTGTAACAGTAGAAAATTATGATTTGAACAATTCTGGAGTTGGCCCATTTGTGCCTAACACCATCAATATATGGTCGCTTTCAAGCACAAAGGGGCTATCCCAAAAAATGCTGTTTTGAGAAAATCATTGGTAAAGTTTTGCCTCTTGTTCAGTTTCTCTCAAAGACAAGGAGAGTTTTTTCTATAACCAGACATACACACCAATGAAATCAAACTTCTCCTATAGATAGGGTAATGCCCACTTTTAGTGTGGGTCAAGATTTTGGGAAACCCTGGAAATTTGGGTTAGCCCGCTTGTCCTCAAAAGCGACCATATTGAATGAGAGTGTATAAGAAGAAAATCTGAGGTTTTGACTGAGGTATAATTGGTTTTTGTGTGTATGTTATGTTTATTAAGTGGTAGCTGCTGGCATCTAGACTAGACCAGCTACAGATCACGCGACAAGTTGTGTCGTCATCATACACAGAAGAAATGTGTAAGCTACTCATACAAACACGAAATGTTTTGTGAGCAACTTTGTGAAAGCTATTGCAATGTCAAAGTCTGTACCTTTCATTCTGTAAATAATTTAAAAAATATGTACAATTTTTAATTTGTTTATGTTGGGTTTTGTTTCTTTGTTTTATTTGACATTTCTTGAAATGTCAAACCAAATAGGCTATAATAACCATTGAAATGAAAGAACAAGCACATAAATCACATTCTTTTGTGGGGAATAAGGACACCAAATGCAGTAGATTGCAGTCAAAGCAGTAGCTTCCTGTTCCTTCAGCAGCAGGTTTTTTTGTTGGTTTTTTTTTTAACCCGGCTGCACCTAAATGGGAGTTGAATGTAGTCTAAAAAGCAGCCATTGAGGCTGATAAAAGTATGAAGTAGGGAGAGCCACATTAGATTTTAACTTCAGCATCCGTCACAGAACAGCTTCTCATTCTCTGAAGGAGGTACTTATGTGTCAGGGAGGTGTGTCCGATACACAATCAAGTAAAAATAACTTCGTCTCTTCTTGAGAGGCCAGAAGGTTTTGTGGACCCAGTTGGGGCATGATATTGTGAAGTTTATTGTTAGTTCGTCAAAGTTATGGCCATAACAGTTGTCGAAATGCAATGCAATAATAAGACATGATCAATATAGCAAAATAATGTTTCTGAGAGGATTGGTTTAGTTTTAATAAGAGTTTTACGGCACTTGCAACACAATAAGGCCATATAAGTGCCGCAGAATAGAGGTGTTACAAGAGAGTAACATTCACAAAAAAGGAGGAGAGATAAGGACGATAGATGTTTGATAGGAAAGAAGGATTAATTTAGTTTTAATAAGAGTTTTACGGCACTTTCAACACAATAAGGCCATATAAGTGTCGAAGATTAGAGGTGTTACAAGAGAGTAACAAACAAAAAAGGAGGAGAGATAAGGACGATAAATGTTTGATAAGAAAGAAGGAGCAAACCACACCAGAGCCCCCGCCAACCACCCACTGAAAGGTTAGGAACCCATAGCACCAATATCAAGTCTCATGAAGAACACACGAAACACGCACATGTAACGGACAATAAGTGTAAACAACCACACCAACATATGTAATAGACTGGTTACATTTTTATTCAATCAAATCAAAGCATGAACAAATGCGAGTTATTTACACACAATTTACAGGGTTTATATATATATATATATATATATATATATACGACATTTCAAGACTTGAGGGAAAAACTGTCGGTCACATTTTGGTGATATTTTTAGAAATCTTAATAATAATGATCAGAACCTCCAATCTTCCAAAGGATTATGAACTAATTTTCTCCCTATATTTTTAGGCCCCTGCCATTTCTCTCCCCTCCAAAAGTCAAACTGCATTAATTAAACTGTAGCGTTATGAAGCCCCCATTGGGTAAAGCTTAAAAAAAAACCAAAATGTAACAGCCGTTTTTTCCCTCCTGTACTTTTTCATTTATCAAGCCACAGGGCACCAGACAGGTGCTCTACAAAGATTGGAAACTTATTCTTCATCACATTGCTGTCAGAGACTATGCAAGTTCCCCACACCATGAAAATCTTGTTTTATAAAGACCGACATGAGAATGGTATACAGGAAAACAAAAGTCTTGATGGACCGTTGTCTCAAATTCTTTGGACCTTCGTCTCAAAAATCTTTGGACTGTGGTCTCAAATTCTTTGGACTGTGGTCTCAAATGGACCGTCGTCTCAAATTCTTTGGACCGTTGTCTCAAATTCTTTGGACTGTTGTCTCAAATTCTTTGGACCGTTTTTGTCTCAAATTCTTCAGTTACATTTACGGCCAACACCACAAGGTAATGAGCAAAGTTTCAAGAACAGGTAATAACACACGTAATCATAAGTGTTTCACACCCCTATCAAAACAATTTAGGCCATATAGGAGGCAGGCTGCTTCCACCTCTCCTGTCAGTGTCAGGGCCAACTCGGGCTGGGGGGGATACACCTCAACAGAAAGACGGAAAAACTTGATAAAAATTCTCCCTCCACACCTCCACAGAAATAAGACTTTAAGTCTCGTGCGTGTGACAGTGGACCATCTAATCGATACCAAACATCAGAGATGCTGGTTCAGGAAGCAGATACAATGTGAGAAAGCGACAAAGAGTGGAAGATAAAGCTGACCAATCCACTACAGTTAACTACACTAGTTTTTATAGTATTTATTTAGTAAGAGTTTAACAGCGCTGGCAACTGCATAAGGTCATACGTATTAACTACCAGTAACATAGACAGAAATACGTAAAATTACAATTGAAAACAAAAAGGAACCAAATGCCGAAGATGACTCTAAGAACTATATGAAATATTTCTCCTTACAGAGTGAAGGAAAAGTAGAGAAGTGGACCCACCGACCACCCACCAGCACAACAGCTTGCTGAGATTCAAAGTCCAAAATACAATAGGAATACAAAGGCAACAAATTATTTGCAAGAAAGTGCAATTTATATAAGCTAACCACGCCGGCCTGCCATCCCTCCAAACTCATTCACTCCCATTTACTCTACAGCAAAAGGAGTACAAGTACAAATACAAATAGTTTTGATATATATATGTTCTACACTCACAGAAGAAATTCATCAAGAAACATATCAATCAACGCAGCCATAACTAATTGCCCTCATCATTTTATTTCAGGTTGCTAATCATTACCATACTGTTATTCATTTTGCATCCTCAATATAGCTGGGTTTTTTGTTTTGTATTCTTAAAATTCAATGACTGAGACATTTTCACTTGTGTTCAAGTCAACTTAAGTTGACTTGAGCAAGCACTGAGCTAAAAAAAAATATTTTTTTTAGTTTTCTCGAAACATCAAGAATAACTTTGGCAAGTGTTACAATCGTAATAAAACGAAGAAAAAAAAAGTTTAATCTGAACACATTTTATGGGTCGGAGTTGAAATGAGAAAACTTCCACAAGAGTTTTCATTTCAACTAGTCTCCACAACACACTCACACTCACAGGACGCACTAGAGAGAAACAAATCACTGCTGGGGGTTTTCATACGAATAGGAAATCCCCATAAACTATGTCACTGAATCACCACAGTCACAGAAAACACCAACAACAAATAAGCAATTATGGGCGGGTCTTTTCATGGACCAACAACAATCATGGCAAAAATACGAGCAGAAACCAGGAATCATGAACAGTAGATATATCTCAACAGCCAACAATTGGAGCAAGTCCTTTCACTTTCAGTCACCAGCAATTATCACAAATCACATCACAGAACAGCAACTATATATATAATATATATATATATATACATATCAACATCATTCCACAAACACCCAAAGCCATTTTTTTACATTTTGAATCATCATGTCTCGCTTCCACCGTGCATGTTTTAAACTCACTGACTACTTGAAGCGTAACATTTGTGGTAAATTCTAAGCTACGGTATCCTACTTTCATCGCAAATGCTGCAGTTTTCCGAGTTATTTTTTTTCTCCACTATTACCATTACATTTGCCATAAAAGTACACCTTTATGAAAGTATAGCCAACTTACTATTGATGAATACTATAGATGAATGTGAAGGCGAAATCTGACAGATGTAACTCAGTAGTGGCAATTTTACGAAAACCAACATTCAGTGACTTTGTTGGTGATGAAAAGTCCAGTGATGATAATTCTGATGTGTTAGACAGTGAATTTTATGATGAAGTGATTGGGGAAGTTATTTTTGAAAAAACCCACCCATGAGCCACCCAAAAAAAAAGAACGCAAATCTTTGCCTGAAATTGGTACGGGTGTTAGCACTGCAGGAAGAGCAGAGCACTCACATCCAAGAAGCAAGCAGCTCCAGTAGAAGATCTAGAGCCTTTAGTGTCAAATTTCGGGGCCTACGCGCACATATCTCAGTAGCCAAACAGACAATGAAGCTGAAGAGCCTTTGTTCTATAAGTCATTTTCAAGAGCATCACGTTTACCCCGTATTTTCATGTTCATTTCGCCGAGAATTTGGTTGTGTTTTTGTGCTGATCTACAGAACTAGTGTCTAGAGAGCCATTTCCCACAACTGTGGATCTAAAAGAAAGCTGTGTTGTGGAACAAGTGAAAATGTAGCAGTCAGTTGATTTTTGTTTCTACTTTCGTGTTCGATCTGGATCATGACAAGGCATCAACAAACCCGTTGCTCTTCTGGCTAAAACTGAGGCCTGTATTCCTGTGAGTTGAGAGACACAGAGTACTAAGCAAGTTCAGTAGAGAGGCACCGTGTCATATACACCCACCACGGACTTCCTGTGCGCACAGACTTTTGAGGAGTTTTTTTACAAAGTGACGTTGGATTTTTTTGGGGGGTTGTTTTTGTAAGTGTTTTACGGCGCTCGCAACTGCATAATAAGACCATATGAGCGCGCGGGACACATTAAACATTTTCAGTTGGTAGGAAATTTTGAATTTTGCCAGGGTGGCGGCCGAAGCCTACTCTTACTGATTTTAGACCACCATGGGATCTTTAACGTGCATAACTTGCACACGGGACCTCCGAGATTTTTTTTGCCCTTGTCCGGGAAGGCTAGGTGTAGATCTTTCCTACCAGAAGATCAGATGCGTGGCTGAAAGACAGCAGTAAGGAGGAGCCAAGGAGTAGCAATAGAAAGGCTGCAGAAAGAGTCTGGAGCCCAGAGGAGGGGGCAAAGGAGGTGAGGGGGTGGGGGCAGAAAGTGGAGACGAAAGCAGACGACAAAACAATTTTAGAGAGCAGGAAAGAAGACAATTTTAGAGAAGAAAATTTTTCGGTCGCTACCCAGATTCGAACCCGCGACCTTTGAATGAGAGGCGAACCTATAGGCCACAAGAGCCCCCCCCCCCCCCCCCCAACCGCACACACAGAGACTCTGTGAGAAACTGAAAAACGAGGCAGAAAGACAGACCACCTCTGAGTTTACAAAGCCAAAGTTGCCAGGACTGCGAAAGCTAAAAAGTGGAGAGCTGCCAAAGGAGAAGCAAAGCAAAAGGAAGAAGAAAATGGTATAGGTTTAACGCCCCTATCAACACTATAAGGTTATTTAAGGGGCGGGACCTCCTAGTTCAACGTCCGTCTCCGATAGGACCGAGCCAAGTGGGAAGTTCGTGTAAAGTGCCTTTCCCAAGGACACAATGTCGGACCGAGCTGAGGCTCGAACCCCCGAACTCGTAATCTCACGATTACGAGTCAAGTAGCCTAACCACTAGGCTACAAGGAAGAAGAGAGGTGGAAAGAAGTCTATGGGGAGTTTACATCACTGGGGGGGGGGGGGGGATTAAATAGGTACTATGTTTTATCTCTCTTTTTAAATTTTTTTAATGGGGGGGGGGAGCTGGGGCTACGTAGGGAAAGCGTTACTGTGCGCAACTTGCACACGGGACCTCCGAAATTTGTCGCCCTTATCTGAGAAGGCTAGGTGTTAGATCTTACCTACCCTTAAGATCAGGGATGTGGCTGAAAGACAGCAGTAAGAAGTCGTCTAATCATTTTGCTGTTTTTCAAATTGTTTTCAAACTTTGCAAGGGTGTACTTTAGCATGTTTTACAATTCACTAACACATTTTAGCTGCTCCAATGTCCATACCATTTTTTTTCTGTAGGCTCTGCTCACCCTACCCCAACTTTTTGGGAGTCCTCTGAGTTTAGAGATCCACTAACACTTAGAAAAAGTACATAGAAAAATCATTTTTGGTTCGTGAATCAAATTCTTTTATGTCTGCAAGATGATTTCGAGAAAAAATTGTAGACTACATCCTGTCTCTCTCCCCCCCCCCAAAAAAAAATGATTAGAAAAATGTGTGTGTACCTGGTGAAAGGGACCCCATGTCGCATTTGCTCAAACCGAGATATCAGTCTTCAAAGGTCAAAAATAGAATTTTTGACAAAAACTAAGTTCCATTAAAAATGGATTCTTCAGCCTTCAATTTATTGATATTTACAAGGATTTGGCTTTTTTAAACTTTAAAATACATTTTAAAAGGTGTTTTTTAACACGAGGTATATTGCGTAATCCCCAAAAATGAGTGAGAAAATTTGCTTTCCGGGTAAACATTGCGGATGGTTTCTCTTGTCCATTCATAAAGTCGACCCAAGCACAATGCATACCAAAATTTAGGTCATTCTCTCTGCTCTCCAATGGCAGGTAATGCGCATGAATATCTAGAACATGTAAACAAAGCGAAGCTTTGCGCATCCATACCCTTTTGTTTCTTTGGAGAGCAAACTTGTATCGCCTATTTCTGCCCTGTGCAAACTTATTTCTTGAAAAGTCCTGTTCAAGGTGGCGGTGAATTTGTTTTGAAGACGTAATATAAGCACTTTGAAGCTGTTCTTTAATTGTAGCTGCTTTTTAAAGTTGGTTTGTGAGTAGCGACTGTGTTGTCAGGTCGTCTCGAAGCAAAACAACATGGCGGAGCGGCCAGCTGATACTACTACTACTACTACTACTAGTAGTACTAGTACTGCTATTCGTGAGCAGGAAATTGTGTCTCATCTCAATTCTCTTAGACGCATTGGGATGTCAGATATGGTGACTGAAGAAGACATCAGAGATGTAATATGCGATTATTTCATTTCTGACGTTGATTTGGGAAAAGAGGAAGATGATGAGTTCGAACTGGAGGTGCCATCAGTACCTGACCCCGCACTGGAAGCAGAACCGAGCGAAGCAGGTAAAGATTAACAACAACAGAGATAATAGAAATAGATATAGATTTAGTAAACTAATAATTATTTATTTGATAATAAATAGTAATAATTATTACAACACTGTTCTGTCTTGATAAACCTTGATCTAGATTAGATCTAGCTTACTCACAGTAGTGCATTTTTGTATTTCTTATTCTTATGTATGCAGAACAAAATTTCATTTATTCCTGTGAGAGTCTGGGTTGTAAGATCTGGATCTGTGGCAATTTTGTTAAGTGGGTAAGGAACAAAAGTTTTCCTCTGACCCTGATAGTGTTAAGTTCCCTAGTTACTGTGGTGAAGATACTTTTTTCGCTTGTGTGTGTTGCAGGAGAAGAAGGGGGAGGGAGGGGTGTAATGGTGTAATGGTATGGGTTTAACGCCCCTATAAAAATTATTAGGTTATTTAAGGGGTGGGATCTCCTAGTTTAATGTCCGTCTCCGATAGGACAGTGGAGGGAGGGGGGTGTCAAGTTTTTAAACAAAACAATAATAATTATGAACATGATTTAACAAAATTCTATTTCAGAAACAGCAAAACCTTTTTACAAGAAAGGTGACTTGTTATGAAAAATGGGAGTTCTGTTTTTGTTTTTATCTGCAGCAGACGTTCAGCGCAGCGTGATTGAGGATGTCCCGCAGTACTTGCCCCAAGCCCTACAGGAGTCAGTGTGTGCTACCGGGGAGCCACCTCCTGCCTTCACAGGCAACTGCAAGTACTACGACATGCCTTCACAGGCAACTGCAAGTACTACGACATGCCTTCACAGGCAACTGCAAGTACTACGACATGCCTTCACAGGCAACTGCAAGTACTACGACATGCCTTCACAGGCAACTGCAAGTACTACGACATGCCTTCACAGGCAACTGCAAGTACTACGACATGCCTTCACAGGCAACTGCAAGTACTACGAAGGCCATCCTTGCTACCTGCAGTTTCCGGGAGACGAGATTGAGAGTGCTAGATTGCAACATTTGGAACTCACCCATCAAGAGTAGGACATGTGCGTATTATCGTATTCGTCATCTTGTATGCGGAGAGGAGAGCTGACTCAAAAGTTAAAAAAAGGCGGCACAAAGTTTTCGGTCAAACCCAAGAACCATGGTTTTTTTTCCAAGGTCAGCCGGTTTGTCGAGATTTGTTTTTATTTGTACATTGCATGTCTACAAAACGATTTAAAAATCTAGCTGTACATTTTAAAGAGCTTGGTGTTGTGGAGCGCGTTCATAAGGGCTTTTAACAGGTTAGAGGCCACGCTTTGTCTTGTAAAGACATAACGGCTGTTGTGGGATTTATTTCAAATTTTGCAGAGGCCAATGCAATCATTTTGCCAGGGAGACAGCCTTATGGCTGAAACACAGACTGCAAGCTGCTTCCTACTCATTGTACTAAGAGGCAAGTGTATGATTTGTATGCCGAGGAGACCGATAGGACACAGAGTGCAAGAAAAGTATCTTATAGGTCATTTGCTTGCATATATAGCAGCAACTTCTCCCTTTCATCACAAACCTCAAGCCTGCGACAGACTTATGTTGGTACTGTCAGCAGAGGTCTGTTCAGCAGCAGCGATGTGTGAATCTCCCTTTAGAGAAAAAAAGTCAAGCTGCAAGAGAAATGCTCCGTCACTTAGAGGACGCTACAGCAGAAAGATCCCTCTACAAACAGCAATAGAGGAAGTAAGAAGAGATATGCCCCCAGACATGCAACTCAGCAATAGAGGAAGTTAGAAGAGATATGCCCCCAGACATACAACTCGGCAAGCATGACTGTTGCGTTTTTGAAAGTAAAAGTCATTATAGTTTTGATTTTGCGCAACAGGCGCATTACCACTGCAACCCACAACAGCCAGGTCAAATTTGTTTTAAAACACCTAGAAAATGTGGTCTTTTTGGGGTCAGTTGTGAGGGTCTGAAACAACAGGTGAACTATCTTTTGGATGAGTCATGGAATTTTGGGAAGGGGGTAAATTCAGTTGTGTCTTTGTTGCACTATTTTTTGGAAAATGCAGGTCTTAGTGACACTGAGGCCCTCTTACATGCAGATAGTAGATAGTTGCTGTGGCCAGAACAAGATCAACACCATGTCGCAATATCTGTTGTGGCAGGTGTTGACAGGGAGGCATAAGAAGATTACACTGTCCTTTCTCTTGGCTGGCCATACCAAAACTGCTTGTGACTGGGCCTTTGGTCTCATCAAGAGATTGTTCAGGAAGACAGTTGTTGGTTCTCTTCAAGATGTTGTCAATGTTGTGGAGGGTTCCTCCATTCCTCCACTGTCAACTGTGCACAGTTGTGTGCACCACAGGAGGGTAGGATCATAGTTCCAGCATATGACTGGCTCAGTTTCTTGGGCAGGCATTTTGACAGACTCCCAAACATCCTTTCTTCTCATCATTTTCATTTTGAAGAAGGGTCTGGGATTGTAAAAGGACAACAGTTTTGCAATTCAGACACACAATCTTTTTCCATTCTTAAACCAAATGCTCCTGAAATGATTTTTTCTGTCCTTCCACCACCTCTGACATCAAAAGGACTTGACCTCAAAAGGAAATGGTATTTGTATAAAGAAATTTGACAGTTTGTTCCATTTGAGCATCAGGATGCTGTAGCTCCTCTCCCACAGGAAGGTGAAGAAGCAGCTAGGGCCATCAACAGCTGAGGAGCCACCAGCAAAAACTGTCAGGGTAGAGCAAGAGAAAGGGAAGGGGAAAGGGAAGGGGAAAGGGTAGGGGAAAAAGTAGGGGAAAGGGAAGGCGAAAGGGAAGGGAAAGGGAAGGGGAAAGGGAAAGGGTAGGGGAAGGGGAAAGGGAAAGGGTAGGGGAAAGGGAAGGGGATAGGGTAGGGGAAAGGAAAAGGGAAGGGGAAAGGGAAGGGGAAAGGGAAGGGGAAAGGGAAAGGGTAGGGGAAAGGGTAGGGGAAAGGGAAAGGGTAGGGGAAAGGGTAGGGGAAAGGGAAGGGGAAAGGAAAGGGAGAAAGGGGAAAGGAGAAAGGGAAATGCAGGGGGGAAAAGACATAGAATCTTTTGTTTATGTGTACAGACAGCTTGGTAGTGGGCAGCACCAGATCCCTTCTTTATAGTACATCCAATTGTTTTAGTTACCATGAAGCATGAAGAACGGGGGATTCACCCAGAATCTCAAATATTTGCATTGCAAATGAAAGGAGAAATGTTGAAGAACCAGAAGACTTAGGATAATATCCATATGAAGTAAGACACATATATATATTTGAAGCAGAAACAAAGGGGAAACTTTAGAGCCGTTTTTCTCAAAACTTTGTTTCCCTACCCTGACTTACACAATCACCAATACCTCAAAAACTACTGAAGATATCTTTAAAATTTTAAAAGCACATTGTTCCGAAATGATTTCTGTACATGAAAATGCACCAAAAAACCGGGATTTTTCCAAATGCGACATGTGGTCCCTTTCACCAGGCACACACATAAATTATGCATCACCTTCCATAAAATTGCCAAAAATCCAATATTATTATGATAATTAGAAATCTCTAGAATGATTTCAGCAATTCTGGAATGATGTGGATGATATACCATACCATAAACCCTACCACAGAGAACATAGACTTGTAAGACCTGAGTCTATTTATATATACAGATGTAAGCGTCCTTCACCTTGGACTGCTGTTCTCCGCCGTTCCAGTGTCTGCGCCCATGTGTGTGTGACATTCACATTGGATTGTTCTCCACTTTATTGTGTGCGACGTGACCTTCACATTGAGCTGTTCTCCACTTCATTGTGTGCAACGTGACCTTCACATTGGGCTGTTCTCCACTTCATTGTGTGCGATGTGACCTTCACATTGGGCTATACTCCACTTCATTGTGTGCAACGTGACCTTCACATTGGGCTGTTCTCCACTTCCAAGTGCGACTCAGCAAACTGCTGCAGGTCCTGGGGACTTACGGGATTGTTCACCAGCTTCTCAATGTCCAGCAGCTCCTTTTCTTTGGCCTGGAAAAGAGTAAGTAGGTACGTAAGTCTACTCAGTGGTTAAAGCCATTGGCCCACATCACATCCTATAAAACACTCATTTGTTAAATTAAGTTTACGTAATGAAAAAGTACAGGTTGTGCACATATCTCTTATCGAGGGTCAAACATTGCATATTTCCGTCACTGGGCCGAGTAATAAAGCATATTGTTCAGACATGATTTCTGCACAAGAAAATGCAAAAAAAACGGGATTTTTCCAAATGCGACATATTCACACTGGGAGAAATTAACAATTTACTTTGATGGACAAAATTTGGACAGTAGAAAATAAAAGGAAATTCATCTTCAATTCCATAAGAGTTACACCTCTCACACAAGTGTGTACTTAATACTTTCCACCAATAAAGATTGTTAGAGGAGCGGTCGAACTAACATTCTAGTTCAGTTTAGTAAGCTTTTTACGGCACTTGCAACACAATTCGGTCATATACGTGCCGAAGATTAGAGGTGTTACAAGAGAGTAACAAGCACGGCAAAAAGAAGGAGGAAAGACAAAGGCGATAGATGTTTGATAGGAAAGAAGAAGCAAACCACATTCCAGAATGTAACACACACTCTTATGAGGATGGTGGACTGCCACACAAGACAGTGGAATAATCAATAATAAACAAGTCAATCAATGATTTGGTTCTACCTCAAGGGGTAGAGTGTAATCATTTTTATACCAGCCAAGAGCGTGGTTATAGAATGATTCGTACTAAAACTTGGTATACGTCAAAAGTGTAGTTCTAAGTCAAGTACTGAGTAATCAGTCATACAGACATCTAATTATTCGGCCATATTATTATCTCAAGGGTGATACAGTTATCAGTCATACAAGTTAATAGTTTGGTTAGTTTGGTTTTAACTCATGGGTTATATAGTAGTCAGTCTCATAAGTCAATGATTAGGTTATAACTCAAGGGTTCTAGAATAATCTGTCATGTCGGTCAAAAATCTGGTTTTAACTCAAGTAACCAGTCGTATTAGTCAATGGTTCTAGATGGTTTGATAATAACTCAAGGATACAAGTAATCAGTAGCGTAAGAAAAAAAATTGTTACTTTTTGTTTTAGTAGAGGTTTTACGGCGCTCGCAACTGCAAAAGGTCATATGAGCGCCAGAAGATTAGAGGTGTTACAAGAGAGTAACAAACATAAAAATGGAGAAGGGGAGATAAGGACGATAGATGTTTGATAGGAAAGAAGAAACAAACCACACCAGAGCACCCGCCAACCACCCACAAATTGTTTCTAAATTAAGGTTATAGACTAATCAGTCATACGAGTCAGTGGTTTGGTTCTAACTCAAGGCTATAGAGTAATCAGTCATTTAAGTCAAAATGTGTTTTTTTGCGCTTTTTAATGAAGGGTCTTAGAGCTTAGAGTAATCAGTATTATTAGTCAAAAGTTTGTTTCTAACTCAAAGGCTAAAGAGTAATCAGTCATATAAGTCAACGGTTTGGCTCCAACTCAATGCTCCTGGGAACCCACAAAACAAACACGATTATGTTAGCAAGTCATCATTTCAGTCGTAACCTAGGGCAAGGATTTTATTCTACAATAACAACTGAGACCAACTTCTTAACCCCATCCATACGCCCTGGGGTCATTTTGAACCCCCGGGGTTGTATTCCTCACATTTTAGAATATTTCTAGTACGAAGATCTCTTTGAAACTTGCAGTATTTCTCCAAAAAAATTTTTGACAGACTGCTATGAAAGCGTACGGATCAGATTAACGAGTAAATTTCCTCTTTGGATAGTGGTGGCACAGAGTTCCCCACGTCGTATGGATACGATGGTAAAACACAACGCACGGACAGGGTTAAGTGGTGGCACAGAGTTCCCCACGTCGTATGGATACGATAGTAAAACACGACGTACGGACAGGGTTAAGTGATGGCACAGAGTTCCCCACGTCGTATGGATACGATAGTAAAACACTACATACGGACAGGGTTAAGTGGTGGCACGGGAGTTCCCCACGTCGTATGGATATGATAGTAAAACACGACGTACGGACAGGGTTAAGCGATGGCACAGAGTTCCCCACGTCGTATGGATACGATAGTAAAACACTACGTACGGACAGGGTTAAGTGGTGGCATGGGAGTTCCCCACGTCGTATGGATATGATAGTAAAACACGACGTACGGACAGGGTTAAGTGATGGCACATTGTTCCCCACGTCATATGGATACGATAGTAAAACACTACGTGCGAACAGGGTTAAGCGATGGCACAGGGTTCCCCACGTCGTATGGATAAGATAGTAAAACCCAATGTACGGGCAGGGCTAAGCGACGGCACAGAGTACCCCAAGTCGTATGGATACGATAGTAAAACACAATGTACGGGCAGGGTTAATTAATTACCCTGAGCGTTCTCTGTAGGGAGTGCAGCTTCCTCAGTCGCTCGACCTCCGCAGCGTTGGCCCCCGCCCCGAGGTTGGAGGGCGCGGTGCACTGACTGCGCCGCTGCCGGATCCTGTCCTTCCCGTCTATGGTCAAGTCCTCTGATTGGATGTTGTTGAACATCACCCGCAGCTCTTCTGTGCTGGCGCCTACGTTATCTGACGAGAGATACACGTTTGGTGTGTTAGTTTAGTTTTAGTAAGAGTTTTACGGCGCTCGCAACTGCATGAGGTCATATCTGTCCCCATGGTTTTATGCACCCCGCATAATTTAGCAATATTTGATCATTTTTTGCATAATTTCTGCTTATTTTCCTTTATCATTCTTCGTTAAAATAAACGAAATCGCATAATTTCCCATTTTTGGGCACAGTTTGCATAATTTCTGATTTATTTTTGCATAAGACCGCGGGGACAGTCATATGAGCGTTTGGTTTGTTTAAAGCGGGTCTAATCAAAACACCTTCCAAAACAGTTTTAGTAAGAGTTTTACGGCACTGGCAACACAATAAAGGTCATATAATTGCTGAAGATTTAGAGGTGTTACAAGAGAGTAACAAACACCAAAAAAAGAAGAGATCAGGACGATAGATGTTTTTGTTTAGTTTTAGTTTAGTTTTAGTAAGTGTTTTACGGCACTTGCAACACAGAAAGGTCATATAAGCGCCTCTGGAGATTAGATGTGTTACAAGGGAGTAACAAACACAAATAAGAAAGAGGGGAGGATAAAGACGATAGATGTTTGATAGGAAAGAAGGAGCAAACCACACCAGAGCACCTGCCAACCACCCACCTTCCAAAACAGAAGGATGGGAAAACCCTTCACCTACTTTTTTTCCTCACAATCATACTCATGTGGGAATGGGTGCGGGTACTTAAATACAAGACTGACAAAACATAATCAAACAGGAGCTCAGATTTCGACTGTTTTATGCTTTTGGCTTCCTTATAAAATTTCAACACACAAGAAGGGAAAAAAACAAAACAACCCCCCCCCAGCGCCTGATAACAC